ACTAAAAGTCAAAACCCTAGTCATGTTGATATGTCTATCTCATTCACTCTCACTTTCTCTCTCCTATCTCTTCCCTCTCTACCCCTCTTGCTCTCGTGCTTTCTCTATACAATATCCCTCGCTTTCTCCCTTCATCTCTCACCCCGTCTCTCTCTCTCTCCCCCCATGGCTGGGCTCCGTTTATCACCAGCAACGACATGCCATTATGTCTTCTTCGACGTGCTACTCATTTTCTACGGCGGCGATGGCAGCCACCTCTTTAATTTCCAATGAATGTCTAAAGGTTGCTATTTTTATGCATGGATTCGAAACGGACAAAATTGTCTTTTTCACTATTGATTCAAAATCTTGAAAATCACCCATCCATCTAACTTGCGCAGCGGCTTTGATAACCCCATGTCACGGCTCGGGTCTTCAGTTGCAGGTCATCTCACTTTCTTACATGGGATGTTGCAGCTTCAGAAAGTCAGTGTCGTGCCTTTAGTAAGTTTTTGAATTTTCTTCAAGCGATGGGTGTCACGGCTTCCAAGAGGCGATGCCGCGACTCGAGTGGGGTAGTGGTCGTCCATATTGCAATGTCGCGGCTTCAAAGAACCAATCCTGCGACCTTCACCTCTCTTGCTCAATTAATTTCATATTTGCGCCAAAACTTCCTCTGAACTATACATAGCATGTCAATTCATTCCAATCTCAATCTAACTTGTAATTTTAAGAAACAAAACACATAAAACAAACAAAACACTCGAAAACTAACAAAACACATATTTGAAAGCACCCAATTCATGAGTATAAAACCCACTCATCACTACATCTGATTACCAAATAAAAAAACAAACAAGATTTCCCAGATATGTGAAACCCATACCGCCGAACCACTCCACATTTGGCAACTCTTGTCTGTCGCCGACGTCTTCTTTCAACAGAAGCGAAAAGTCTCTATTGTGTGGGAAAATGTGACGGACACCTGGACGAGCGATAGTGCGACACGTGGCCTTAACTACTCCCCGCCAAGCAACAACCCTCGACGTCTACAGCTCTAAAGAGCCCAAGCACGAAGCCCAACTCAGGGCGACGATTCCTTCTAGCGTCGACAGATCGCGCCGTCGAGCGTAAGGCACAAAGATCCCTCGACCGCAGAATCGACCACCAAGAAGGACGATTGAGCTAAGCGGCGTCGCTGGTGACGAGGGAAACGTTCTCTGGATGACGTGGCAAGTTGCGTACAAAGGTGAGGGACGTTAGCAGGCATTAATTGCAAGCTCTTAAACCGCCCCACAGGGGACATGATAGTGTTACAGGGGTGCACAGAGTCGTAATAGAAGACTAATTGGCTGAGTGAACAGTGTTGATTAGTGGGCTACGTCTGGGCCTAAAAAGGGAGAGCACTTGAGTGCTTCTGCCTAGGAGGGAAACCCACCTAGCGAAGAAAGCCCAGTATAAAAGAAGGGAGACCCCCTACGAGGAGGGGGTTGGGAAAAAAGAAGAGAGTGAGAGATAACAATTGATGTAAATTGTAAATCCCCTCCAAAAGAAATATACAACCACAGTGGATGTAGCTCTAATTTTAATGGGGTTGTGACTTGTGACTTGTCCTCATAGACTGGGGTGTTTGTACGAAAATGGGGGAAGCTTTGGTCAGTTTGATGTTCTGTTGTCGTTTTTGGTATTTGTTGTCGTTTTTCAAAGTAAGAAAAAGTTTTTTATTTTATTTTATTTTTATTTTTAAGATTTTTCTGAAGTGAATTGATTTTTGGGATTTAATTTGTAGTGACTACTGTGGAGAGTGGGAATTGGTTTTATTTTAAATACTATTACATATTTTTAAAAATTAAACCACCAAACGCAGTTTCAGTTTTTCTTAAAACTGAAATCAATCTCTGAATAAAACTACCAAACACATTTTCAGAAATAATTCCAAAATGAAAATGAAAACGTTTTCATTTCCATTTTCATACAGAAAACAAAATCATGTTGAAACCAATTCCAAACGCAACCAACAAATTTGGTAGGAGTAATTAAAATTAATAACAAGTTTTAAGAAATTATCTAATAAATAATAGAAAAGTTTAAAAAAGATATTTTAGTATGCTTTGCAATACTAAAAATACCCCAGTTAGATACTAAAAGTCAAAACCCTAGTCATGTTGATATGTCTATCTCATTCACTCTCACTTTCTCTCTCCTATCTCTTCCCTCTCTACCCCTCTTGCTCTCGTGCTTTCTCTATACAATATCCCTCGCTTTCTCCCTTCATCTCTCACCCCGTCTCTCTCTCTCTCCCCCCATGGCTGGGCTCCGTTTATCACCAGCAACGACATGCCATTATGTCTTCTTCGACGTGCTACTCATTTTCTACGGCGGCGATGGCAGCCACCTCTTTAATTTCCAATGAATGTCTAAAGGTTGCTATTTTTATGCATGGATTCGAAACGGACAAAATTGTCTTTTTCACTATTGATTCAAAATCTTGAAAATCACCCATCCATCTAACTTGCGCAGCGGCTTTGATAACCCCATGTCACGGCTCGGGTCTTCAGTTGCAGGTCATCTCACTTTCTTACATGGGATGTTGCAGCTTCAGAAAGTCAGTGTCGTGCCTTTAGTAAGTTTTTGAATTTTCTTCAAGCGATGGGTGTCACGGCTTCCAAGAGGCGATGCCGCGACTCGAGTGGGGTAGTGGTCGTCCATATTGCAATGTCGCGGCTTCAAAGAACCAATCCTGCGACCTTCACCTCTCTTGCTCAATTAATTTCATATTTGCGCCAAAACTTCCTCTGAACTATACATAGCATGTCAATTCATTCCAATCTCAATCTAACTTGTAATTTTAAGAAACAAAACACATAAAACAAACAAAACACTCGAAAACTAACAAAACACATATTTGAAAGCACCCAATTCATGAGTATAAAACCCACTCATCACTACATCTGATTACCAAATAAAAAAACAAACAAGATTTCCCAGATATGTGAAACCCATACCGCCGAACCACTCCACATTTGGCAACTCTTGTCTGTCGCCGACGTCTTCTTTCAACAGAAGCGAAAAGTCTCTATTGTGTGGGAAAATGTGACGGACACCTGGACGAGCGATAGTGCGACACGTGGCCTTAACTACTCCCCGCCAAGCAACAACCCTCGACGTCTACAGCTCTAAAGAGCCCAAGCACGAAGCCCAACTCAGGGCGACGATTCCTTCTAGCGTCGACAGATCGCGCCGTCGAGCGTAAGGCACAAAGATCCCTCGACCGCAGAATCGACCACCAAGAAGGACGATTGAGCTAAGCGGCGTCGCTGGTGACGAGGGAAACGTTCTCTGGATGACGTGGCAAGTTGCGTACAAAGGTGAGGGACGTTAGCAGGCATTAATTGCAAGCTCTTAAACCGCCCCACAGGGGACATGATAGTGTTACAGGGGTGCACAGAGTCGTAATAGAAGACTAATTGGCTGAGTGAACAGTGTTGATTAGTGGGCTACGTCTGGGCCTAAAAAGGGAGAGCACTTGAGTGCTTCTGCCTAGGAGGGAAACCCACCTAGCGAAGAAAGCCCAGTATAAAAGAAGGGAGACCCCCTACGAGGAGGGGGTTGGGAAAAAAGAAGAGAGTGAGAGATAACAATTGATGTAAATTGTAAATCCCCTCCAAAAGAAATATACAACCACAGTGGATGTAGCTCTAATTTTTCAGAGTGAACCACTATAAAATTTATTGTCTTCTTTACTTATGCACATTTCAAATGATACATACCATACACCCCAAACAATAAACTTACACACATATTCAACACATAGGCCGGTGATCCAAAGGGAAACCAAGAGGTAACCCGACCGGTTTTTGTTGATGAGAAATCACCGTCAACAATTGGCGACTCCACTGGGGACGAAAGCGTTCGACCTCCAACAACATAGTTAGCAAGCACGCCTCCGAGAGAGACGGATGAAACCGCCATCCATCCAGGGAATAACGGGATGGAAGGAGATCTACGCCCGATCAGAGATGAAGCCCTACCCCCAGACGCGCCACGGCCGGATCCTGCGCAGATGCAGGCCCAACTGATCACTCTAACTGAGCTGGTACATGGGTTGATGACCGTGGTTGAGCGCTTAGATGGAAGGAACTCCATGACGCCATTAGAAGACACCCCAAGGCCGCAAGGATCTGCCATGGCTGGAAACCCGGACCCCGGTGACCACCTACATATCCAAGAGGGAACCGGGGATAGCGAGAATCACCGGGGCCATCCTAGGCCTCGGCCTTCCTAATCCTCTGGTAGCCGTTTAAGGGCCGCTGGACTCTGAGCTCCTGAGGACTGGGTACCAAGAGGTCCAGGAAATCCTGAGGTACTATCCCAGAATCCAGGAGACTCGGGATCAGTAGAGGCGGGCGGCTAGGCCAGGGGTTGACCTAATGCTCAGAGGGCAGAGGCGTCGAGAGTAGCTGGCTCGGCCATTTCAACAGAAGAAGCACGTGCCATCATGGAACGTATAGCCAGCTTGGAACAAAAACTGACGGGGGACGTGATAGGTCTAAAAAAGAACATAGGTCGTGTGGTTGAGGTGGTAAATGTCGACATCACGCCCAGCCGCACACATGACCATCCATTTACCGAAGAAATAATGGCACCCCCTCTCCCCGATAAATATAGGTCGCCGTCGATCCCACCATATGATGGACGAGGGGATCCCGACGACCATTTGGAGATGTACACTGGGCACATGCTCTTGCACGGTTATGCTGAGGAGATCATGTGCCGAGCCTTTCGGAACCATTTGACGGATTCTGCCCGAAGATGGTTCCGGACGCTGAGGTCAAACTCTATCTTGAGCTGGGATGAGTTGAAGGAAGCATTTTCTCTCCAATTCATAGGGGTTAAAAAGTACGTCCCCCCGGTTTAAAAGTTCCGCCCCCCCGAAGCAGAATCTGACGACGATATACCAAAAGCCGAACGAGTCATTAAGGGAATGGCTCGCGAGATATGGGGAAGCTGTCACCGCCACGATGGATATAACATACAAAGAAGCCTTGATGGGGGCATTATCTAGCATAAAGAAAATTACCCCCTTTAAGAGAGAGCTGAACCGTAAACCCCTGTCTAGCTACAGGGAATTTCTGGCGCGAGCGCAGGGGTACATCAACGCCGAAGAGGCAGACACAAACGACCCCGAGCACAGGTCCAACAAGAATAAAGGAACCGAACAAGGGTCGACGCATGTGAAACAGGACGGGAAAAAGCGTCGAGGTGGAGGAAGCGGAGATAAGGAGCCAGTGCGACGACGAGCGCTTCAGAAGCCGAGGCAAGAGGATACCCGTAAGCCTCGACTGTTCCAAAAATACGATTCCTACCACGAGCTAACGGTAGGAGTCGAGAAGGTCTTCAATCAGGTCGGCCGCGGGAACTTGCTGCGCCGACTGGAACCAATGAAGTCAGATCCCAGCCGAAGGAACCAGAAGAAATTCTGTAGGTTCCACGGCGATGTCGGCCACCACACTAACGATTGCGCCGACCTCAAGGATGAAATTGAGAGAGTGATCCGTGAGGGAAGGTTACAAGAGTTCAGGGCCGAACGGAGACCTCGAAATGACAGCCACGGTGGGCAAAATGACGGTCGACGCCGAGAGAAGAACCAGCGCCCAGAGGATCGTGAACCCGTCGGCGTCATACGAATTGTCCTCGGCGACCCCTATATAGGAGGAGACTCAATGAGGTCTCAGAAGGACTACGACCATGAGGCCAGGGAGGTTTACCAGGAGCGATTCTGGAGCGTCTCCGCTGCAAAAACCCCAAGGTATAGCCACACCGACGTGGCCTTTAATGAGGATGACGCCAGCGGAGTTCACTTCCCCCACAACGACGCATTGGTGGTGGAAGCCATGATAGAGAACCACACCGTGTGCCGAATCCTGGTGGACAATGGGTGCTCGGTGGACCTCCTATACTCCGACTGCTTGGAGAAAATGGGGATCCAAAAGGAACAGTTGGAAAAGACCTCCAGGCCACTATATGGTTTCACCGGGGACTCCGTCATCCCCCAGGGGACCATCCGGTTGCCTATAACCGCCGGAGAAAAACCCCGATAGGCTACCACAATGGCCAACTTCCTGAACGTCGACCCCTCATATCCTCCCAAATGCCAGAAGTGTCGACTGATGAACCCCGAGAGATATGAAGCGCTGAGAGAAGAGGTCGACAAGCTGATCAACAATGGCTTCATCAGGGAGGCCCGTTACCCACGTTGGGTATCGAACCCCGTTCTAGTAGTCAAGCCCAACGGGGACTAGAGAACATGCGTCGACTTCAGCGATCTCAACAAAGCCTGCCCAAAGGACAACTTTCCACTCCCACGGATAGACTAAATGGTCGACGCCACAGCGGGACATGAGATGCTGAGTTTTATGGATGCCTACTCCGGATACAACCAAATCCCCATGCATCCAGCCGACGAGGAGCACACATCCTTCATAACCGACAGGGGCCTCTACTGCTACAAGGTGATGCCTTTCGGACTAAAAAATGCAGGGGCTACCTACCAGAGGCTCGTAAATAAAATGTTCGCTCAATAGCTCGGCAGGACAATGGAGGTCTACGTCGACGATATGCTTGTGAAAAGTGCCAGGGCCAGCCAGCACGTCGACCATCTGGGGGAAATGTTTGGTATACTGAGAAAATACCACATGAAACTTAATCCCCAAAAATGTGCCTTTGGTGTTGGGTCGGGGAAATTCCTCGGTTTTATGGTCAGCAACCGTGGGATAGAAGCAAACCCCAAGAAAATTAAAGCCCTACAATATATGCGGTCTCCAACTAAGCCAAAGGAAGTGCAAAGGTTAACAGGATGTGTTGCCACCCTAAACAGGTTTATATCAAAAGCGACAGACAAATGCGTCCCCTTCTTCGACGCTTTAAAAGGAGGCAGGCGTTTTGAGTGGACACCGCAATGTGAAGATGTCTTCCAGAAATTAAAGGAACATTTGGGCAAGCCCCCAATTTTGGCAAAACTAAACCCCGACGAAGAGCTCAGCCTATACCTCTCCGTGTCCCAACACGCCGTAAGCTCCGTACTGATAAGAGAAGAAGAAATGGTACAATTGCTAATCTACTATGTGAGTAAGAGGCTCCTCGACGCCGAATCAAGATACAGCGAAATGGAACGCTTAGCCCTCGCCCTGATGGTAGCTTCAAAAAAGCTTCGGCACTATTTCCATCTCATACCATACGGGTTCTTACAAACCACCCGTTGAGACAGGCTCTACAAAAGCCCGAAACTTCCGGTCGACTCCTCAAGTGGTCGGTAGAACTAAGCCAGTTTGACATAAAATATGTGCCAAGAACTGCGATCAAGGGCCAAACGTTGGCCGATTTCTTAGCCTAGTTCTCCCATAGGCCAGCTCCCACCACGCCTGAAGGAGTCGAGACAACAGAATGGAAGCTCTACGTGGATGGAACGTCGAGCGAAAGCGGGTCAGGAGCCGGCGTCTTGTTGATTAGCCCAGAAAGCCACAAGATTACCTTGGCGGTTCGATTTAAATTCAAGGCGTCGAACAATGAGGCGAAATACGAAGCGTACCAATCCCAATCCATCAAATTTTTTTTATTTTGATATAAAAGGTTTATAGACGGAGTTAATAATTTTGTTAATATATCCAACTGAATTCCTTCTTGATTGAATTGATTGAAGAAAGGAATTCCTATAACTCCAATGAACAAAGTAAATAGACCTAATACAAGCATAGAAAATAGCATAGTATTTTCCGACTCATGAGGATACGAGAAACTGTTCTTAGTACCGAAATTAGGATTAGGAATAGTAATAATAGGCCCCCTCAAATTTCTTACATTTCTATTAATTAGATATTTCTTTTTAAAAAAAAAGAAGTCTTTTTATTATTATTCATTGTTAATAAAGGTAATAAGCGAAATTTTGTTTTAATCCACTTTTGCTCTTCTCTACCCCATAAAGATATTGCTAATCGCAGGACTACGATTGGCCAGCCACCTAAAGATCGAAAGGCTTAGTGTCTTCAGCGATTCTCAATTAGTCGTCGGGCAAGTAAAAGAAGAATATCAAGCGCGCGGCGAGAAAATGGGAGTGTACTTAAGGAAGGTAAAGGAAGAACTCGTTAAGTTTAAAAACTACGAGATACTTCAGATACCACGAACTGAAAATGCAAATGCCGATACTCTGGCAAAGCTAGCATCTTTAAGAGAGTCTGACACACTAGGGGTCGTTCCCATCAAAGAATTGGAGCGGCTGACTATTGAAGAAAAAGTTAAGGCATTAATCGTCCAAGCAGGTGAAAATTGGATGACGCCACTCATCCAATACCTAACGGATGCACAACTGCCAAACAATAAAGACGAAGCCAGACGGATCATGTATAGAGCTGCTAGGTACTTGTTGTACGACGACTTGCTCTACCGACGAGGCTACTCAACCCCTCTACAGCGGTGCTTCGATAAAGCCGAAGCCCAGAAGGTCCTCCAAGAAATCCATGAAGGAATCTGCGGTAACCACACTGGGGGGTAGTCTTTGGCTCTAAAGGTTTTGAGGCAAGGATACTACTGGCCCACGCTAAAAAAGAACGCTTTTCAATACGCCCAACGTTGCGATAAATGCCAAAGGTATGCCACAATTCCTAGAGTACCCCCAGAAAATTTAACTTCCATTCTCAATCCATGGCCCTTCGCCAAATGAGGGGTTGACCTGATCGGGCCATTACATCTTGCACCCGGAGGCTTTAAATTTGTAATCGTCGCGGTGGACTACTACACAAAGTGGGCGGAGGCAAAGGCTCTAACTACAACTACGGAAGCAGCCTGCACCAAATTCATGTGGGATAACATCGTGTGCAGGTTCGGGGTTCCCCACTCAATAGTATCCGACAACGGAAAGCAGTTCGACAATGCCTTGACACGCAGATTCTGTGACAGCTTGGGCATTCAGAAAGACTTCTCGGCGCCAATCCATCCACAATCTAACGGACAAGTTGAGGCGGTCAATAAAATACTAAAGTATACCCTCAAAAAGAGACTCGACGATCTAAAAGGGAAATGGGCCGAGGAACTTCCCAAGGTCTTATGGGCATACAGAACGACGAGCCGAACTACTACGGGTGAAACACCCTTCTCCATGGTATATGGCGTCGAGGCAGTGCTCCCCGTAGAAATCGAAACGCCGACCCTAAGAACCGTCGTCCATAACGATGACGACAACACAGAAGGCATGAACGGAGAACTCGACTTGTTGGAAGAAAAAAGGCTCAACTCCCAACTGCGCCTCGCCGCCTATCAGTAAAGAGCAGCGCGATATTACAACAAGAAAGTTCGGCAAAGAAAGTTCGTCCCAGGGGACCTAGTATTAAAAAGGGTAACGCAAAGTACAAAACCCAAAAATACTGGTCCATTGGGCCCAACTTGGGAAGGGCCCTAGTGCATAAGGGAAGTACTACGTCCTGGCACCTACATTTTGGAAAGCCTAGACGGTAAGAGAATTCAACACCCGTGGAATGCGGAATAGCTAAGGCTGTACTACCGATAGTAAAGAAAAGAATTCACCCATTAATAAAATGTCTGCTTAAAAAACTAAGGTTATATCAAACAGACATGGGGGACAGAGGTCCACTAATCACTAAAAACATGGTGCGACGACCCCAAGGGGTAAATTCGACATCAGATCCTCCAAGGAGGAAAGGCGAGCACTTAGCAAAATTCTAAGGAATTTTCTAAGGCGACGACCCCAAGGGGTACAATCGACGTCAGATCCTTCAAGGAGGGAAGGCGAGCACTTAGCAAAATTCTAAGGAATTTTCTAAGGCGACGACCCCAAGGGGTGAAATCAGCGTCAAATTCTCCAAGGAGAAAAGACGGACACTTAGCAAAATTCTAAGGAATTTTCTAAGGCAACGACCCCAAGGGGTGAAATCAGCGCCAAATTTTCCAAGGAGAAAAGACGGACACTTAGCAAAATTCTAAGGAATTTTCTAAGGCGACAACCCCAAGGGGTGAAATCAGCGTCAAATTCTCCAAGAGGGAGAGACAGGTAAAAATCATTTCAGGCTTCGCCGCCAGCCGCCGATTCATCACCGTCACCAGGCGGGGAAAGCTTGTCGTCGCCAGCAGGAGGAGGAGAGTTATAAAGGAAGCTCAAGTCCCACTCAGAACGCTCCTTCTTGATCAGATCGATAATTTGTTGACTTGCATACTGAAAATCCTTGGTGCGGATGTCGGTGAGCTCCGGAGAAGCCTTGAACTCCTCAATAATCTCAGCGCCCCTGGCGTCGAAGGCAGCTGCAGCTTCTGCTTCGGCTTCCCTCTTCCCCTCAGTCTTCCCCTCAGCGAAACGCTTCTTCGCTTCCTCAGCTTCTTCGGACAACTTTTTATCGGACAGGTCTGCCCGCTTCGTGAGATCCTCGACCTTAGCAGTCAACTTTGCTAGTTCTTCATCCAGAATCACCAGCTTGGCCACTGCCATGTCCCTCTTATCGATGGCATCATCTAACTGTTTTTTGGCATCGGTGACAAGGGAGTTGAGCTTGGCTTCCACTTCATCCATCTCCTTATCGCGCTCCTTAACCTTAACTAGGTCAAAGAGGTTAAGGATGGAAAGGACCAGGCTCTGAAAAGTTGAAGGTCAGAAAAACATAAATACAGAACGACGAGTAAAAAAAAAAAAAAAAAACTCTCGACAAAATCTTACGTGGATTTGGAAGGAAATCTGTTTGCGCTGACGGTCGACCAAGGAAGATTGAGTGGCAGCAACCCAGTGTGGCTCGAGAAAAGACTCAAAGAGAGCCTGAAAGACGAGGGAGAAATGAGGGGGAAGTTTTAGCATCGCCCCAATCTCGGCGTCAGATACGTCCGGGACTTGGAACTTGGGATCCATGATTTTAGCCCCCGGAATAAGTACGCGCTCTCTCGGCGCCAGGGGAATGTCGACGTCAGGAATAGGGACCGTCGGCGTCCATGTCTCTACCACCGACATTTTTTCTTTGCGCTTCTTTTTCCGCGCAGGATCCATCTCCGACCCCAAAGGGCCTTTGGTCTTCTTGCTCCTCGGCATGTGGGAAGAAGAGCTAGCTCTCTCCTTTCCCTTCGACGGGGGCTGTTGGCTCGGCGGGGGTTGTTGAGTCGACGGTGGCTGCTGGCTCGTCCCGGATTGCTGTTTACCAGGGAGTTGGATTCTCAAAGACGCCATCTCTGCGAAAACGACGAAACAAAGATAAAGTCAGCGTTTGAAAAATGAAAGCCATAATGAATAAAGGCATCAAAAGCAGAAGTTACCTTCGTCACTTAAGTGGAAGTATGCGCGAACAACGTCTAGGTCTGAAGGGTCTGGGAGATTAAGAATCAACCTGGCGGCTCGAAGGTTGGGCGTGGTCAGGAGCGTATCGATGTGGTGGATCTCAGATGAAAACGAGAAGGCCTCCTCGACCCTCGCCAAGCTATTTCCAAAAAACTTTGGCCGGTCCTGGTTAACTGAAGGAAGAAAGATTGTCAGCATATGAAGAAAAATAAAGAGGCGAAGTGAGGTAAAAGAAATCCAAAATTCTCACCCATGTTCCCAAACGCCGCTTTCACTTGCCTTCGACGTGGCAGGAGGTTGCTGAGGTGAAAATTGAAAGGCATGCGAATCATGAAAAACATGGGTTTCTACCCATGTGATGACGAGGGAATCCCCAGTATCAACTTCCCGAATCTAGGCTGAGATCTCTCGTGTTCGCTCAAAAAATACCACCCCTCACACTTGGCGACGTGGCATAGTTTATACATAAACCGAAACTCGTCCAGAGGGAGTTCCATATCAAACTTTTGGTGCCACAAAATCCAGGCACCGACGAAGCAATACCAGAAGTTCAGCGCCAGTTGAGCGGGGGAAATGCCATAAAAATGACAGTAGTCCTTTACAAAAGGATGAACTGGGAGGGTTATCCCCGTCGTAACGGCTCTAGTATAAACCGGGAGGTACCCGGTCGGCGGCATGCTGGTCCTAAAATGCATGTCCGGGAGGAGGTATTCGAACCACCTCCCGTCGATGCATCCCTCCTTTACAGCCCGTATGATATCTTTATTTCAGACCCTCGATGCCACAACATCGGCAGTAAAAAAGGGCCTATCCGGATCACCACTTGTGGCAGCCAGGGGGGCATCTACCATCGAAGCAGCCACCCGCCTACACTGCCCCCCGTGAAGGGGATCTGCTCTACCACCTCGTCCAACATCCGCTCTACGCTGCCAAATTCACTACCAAAGCCGTCGCCTGGTTCATATCTGGATTCATATCCGGCCCCGACGTCTTCTATGTCCCTCAGCACGGAGTCGACACTTAAAGACGAAGAAGACCATGAGATCTCCACCATTGAAGGGGAGTCTGGACGGACGACGAAAGAATCCTCTCGACTGGGGGAATTTTGGGCCATTGTTCTGATGATTAAAAAGACAATGAGCTGAGTTAAAATCCTAACGTCGAGAGGAAGAAAATGGTGACTATTCTAAATGACGACTACTCATACACCTCGACTTGACGTCGACCATTCATATGAGAATGGTAATGGCGAGTGCTCATAGAATTCTAAGTCCCCCAGAACCCAGAAACCAGAAGAACACAGACAACAATAAGATGGAAACAGAACTATCCTATGCGGCAAAGTAAAACAGAGTAAGTATCCCTAACTTCCACATTCTGCGTATTTCCATACATATGTGAATCAACCAGAAAAAACCCGTGAGAAAGCAAAACGAACAGAGGATGATGAAGCTTACCGGTAAAGAAGAGTTCTGGGGAGAGAATCTCAGATTGCATGCGGCTTCGCGACACGTCCTGGAAAGCAGAAAGTACGAATCAATGTTTTGTGGAGAAAGATTTCGATGAAGCAAAAGGCAGTTCAGCAAATACAGGGGTTGTTTGCGTTTTTGAAAAAAAAATGATTTTTTAGTTTGAAAAGGGTATTTAAAGGGGCGAGAGTCCTCGACCCCTGACCGTTGGATGAAGACTTTTAAATCCAACGGTAAGGGGGTCCTACCCAGATCTGACGGTGACAAACGAGGGCAGGAAACGGAAGAGTCGCGATCCAAAGGCTCGCACTCATCCTTTCGAAATGAGGCCTTGCGTCATCATGGGGAATCGACCGACGCGACAGTTGCGTCCCCCGAAGGAAATCCGAAGCATCCAGGTAATCATTGCGGGTGAAGGCTTGGGACCGGTTTCCTACACCCGAACCACGGAAGTATGGCCGAACCAAAGCTCGAGGTCGCCTAAAAGGAGCCCTCGACCTGGGGGGTAGCTGTTGTGTGAAAAAATGTGACGGACACCTGGACGAGCGATAGTGCGACACGTGGCCTTAACTACTCCCCGCCAAGCAACAACCCTCGACGTCTACAGCTCTAAAGAGCCCAAGCACGAGGCCCAACTCAGGGCGACGATTCCTTTTGGCGTCGACAGATCGTGTCGTCGAGCGTAAGGCATAAAGATCCATCGACCGCAAAATCGACCACCAAGAAAGACAATTGGGCTAATCGGCATCGCTGGTGACGAGGGGAACGTTCTCTGGAGGATGTGGCAAGTTGCGTACAAAGGTGGGGGACGTCAGCAGGCATTAATTGCAAGCTCTTAAACCGCCCCACATGGGACATGATAGTGTTACAGGGGCGCACAGAGCCGTAATAGAAGACTAATTGGCTGAGTGAACAGTGCTGATTAGTGGGCTACGTCTGGGCCTAAAAAGGGAGAGCACTTGAGTGCTTCTGCCTAGGAGGGAAACCCACCTAGCGAAGAAAGCCCAGTATAAAAGAAGGGAGACCCCCTACGGGGAGGGGGTTGGGAAAAGAAAGGAGAGTGAGAGATAGCAATTGATGTAAATTGTAAATCCCCTCCAAAAGAAATATACAACCACAGTGGATGTAGCTCTAATTTTTCAGAGTGAACCACTATAAAATTTATTGTCTTCTTTACTTATGCACATCTCAAATGATACATAGCATACACCCCGAACAATAAACTTACACACATATTCAACACATAGGCCGGTAATCCAAAGGGAAACCAAGAGGTAACCCCGCCGGTTTTTGTTGACGAGAAATCACCGTCAACAGTCTCCAACCCTCAACGTAGATGTTCCCTGATCAGGCCATTTCCGAATCACCAAAATCCTCGGTGTCTCCTTCTTCTTCGATTGAGGTGTCTTCAATGGCGACATCACGATCCAAGGTGGGTGGTAGTCATTTTCCTACTTCGTGATTGGTAACCCATCCGGCCGAGCTCCTTCTGATCGAGGTTCGCGGCTGAGCTCTATTGGTATCACGGACACCGGCTTGCTGAGGGTAAGATCAGACTATGGTGAGCATGCGGGAGGCGAGATCGACAATGATGGTTAAGAGCGATGCGTAACTGGTCGGTGGGCGTGGGTTTTTTGTTCTATGAGAATTTTTAGAATCAATGCGGTAATAATTATGTTTGGTAGGTTTCATTCTTTTTTGGTAGTGGATGATATTTTTTTTTGAGAAAATTATTTAATTTATACTTTAAAGAGTGTAGGAGTCTAAATTTTTATCAATTATTTTTAATTAATATATTTTTTACTAATATAATTTTTTAAGTAAAAGTTATTAATTAAGAGTAAAAAAAGAAATGACCCGATCTCTATTTTTTGACCATTTAGTTTTGATCCAATAGCGAGTGGAGAAGTTATTTTTATTTTTACTTTTCACATTTTTTGAGAAAGAAATGAAAATTAGAGAGAAATGACGTTTAACACAATTAAAGATAAAAAATAAAAATAAAAATAATTTTTTAATTTAGTGTAAAATATGAGATAAATAAAAAATAATTTTTTATTTTTTATTTATGTTTTTTCTTTTCTCAAATAAAAAAAGAGACATTAATAAATTTTTTTAATGTTAAAAATAATTTTTTAATAAAATTATTAAATATATTTTTAAAAATAATTTATATTAAAAATATTTTAATTTCTATTTTTATATAAAAATTAAAATTATTTTAAAACGAGTGCGCCTTTCACATTCCCCAAAAAACAATGTTTTGATCTAATTTTAAAAAGATAACTGACGCGGTGGAAGTTTGATAAAACGACATCGTAGCACTCCCTTCTTCTTAAGACCCTACTAGTGCTACCGGTGGACGCGTTTCTCTTCGAAATCGATAATCGAGCCGGAACACAGGAATCGCCAGCAGGAAACTCAGAGAGAGAGAGAGAGAACTGAGAAGATATCATTTGGGCTAAACTGTTGGCTGCGATTTTCTTCGATTTGAGCGATGAATCCTCTAACTCTAGTGAAACGCATCCAAAATATCAACGCGAAAGAAGCTTCTTTAGGGATCTCCGAGGACGCCTCATGGCATGCCAAGTACAAAGATTCCGCCTATGTCTTCGTCGGCGGCATCCCCTTCGATCTTACCGAAGGCGATCTTCTCGCCGTCTTCGCTCAGTATGTTTCTCTCTCTAACTTTCTCAATCTCCACATTTCTCAATTTGTTTGGCGAATTCTGAATTCAAAATCGATTGATTTCCAGGTATGGAGAAATTGTCGACGTTAATCTTGTTAGGGACAAAGGTACTGGAAAATCAAAAGGTTTCGCTTTCGTGGCGTACGAGGATCAGAGAAGTACAAATCTTGCTGTAGGTTTGTCCGTTTCTCTGTCTATCTCTATCTCTTGTTTCGCTTCCTGTGGCAAATCATAAGAAATTGTTTTCGATTTTCTAGTTAGTTTTTGTACTCAGTTTTGTTGTTGTTTTGATTTCTTGTAGATAATTTAAACGGAGCTCAGATGTTAGGCCGGACTATTAGGGTTGATCATTGTAGTAAGTACAAGAAGAAAGAGGAAGAAGATGAAGAGACCGAGCAGAAGAAGAGGGAGGCGCGGGGCGTTTGCCGGGCTTTCCAAAGAGGAGAATGTACGCGCGGAGCTAGCTGCAAATTCTCTCATGATGAGCAAGTAAGATCAGCATCATAGCGGAATGCTAGAGTAGTGGTGCATTTACTACATTATTTTATTTGTTTAATAAACTTGAGTTTGAGATTGATAATTATACTATTAGATTATGATTACTAATGGTAAAGCTTCAAATTTGGTCAGTTGCTTTCTCAGTTTGTGCTTGCTTGAATATTTCTTGTGTCTTTGGTATGCTTTTTTATATTTGTTCATACTTCATAGAAGGTGCTGGTATTTTCTGAGATAATGAAACTTAGGCCTCGTTTAGTTCGCCGATTTGAGTTTTTAATTCGAGTTGAGATGTGACTTTATGTGAGAGCTTTTAACTGTAGCAAAAAAGTTAAATGTGACTTTTTATGAGAGCTTTTAACTGTAGCAAAACTGGAATTGAAAACTCAAATCGGTGAAATAAACGAGGCCTTAAAGCCTTTACTTTTATGAAGTCTTGTGAAGCTTTCCTTATTTTTCTCTTTGAATTTGTTCTAGAATAGTCATTATAGGAGCTTTTGAAACCTGTATGCATTTCTTCCAGAGTAAGCTAATGCAACAGTTAAAACTTGGAGATTATTGATGTTTGTTATTGCTTTAGCTTCTAGAGAATCTGTCAAAATCCCGTGCCTCATCAGAGAATTATAGATGGTGGGTTGGTTCTTACCCTATAATATATTTCATCTGAAGACTATTGCTATTTCTTGTTCAAATCCTGGATTTACAATTGCTTCTTCTTGATTGTCTTCATCTACTCGTTCTGCTTTTCTCAGTCTTGCTATGTTTGAATTCATCTCATGTAAATTTTGTCCACCAATTGCTTTTCTATTTTTGTTCTGTTTTATTTCAAGTGGTGTTGCATGTCTATCTACACTTATGGTTGCTCTTATTCTTTCGGTGCTTATCTCTGCCTTTTCTGTTTGTGTCTAGAGAGCTGCAAACACAGGTTGGGGCCATGAGGACAAAGAACCAAGATGGGGGCATGAAAAGTTTGACGGTCCAAAGAAGGGTGAGAGAAGATTTGGGAACATAACATCAAGTCATGCTTCAGAACGTACTGTTCGAGAAGGCGATCAAGAGACACGTTCTAGAGCAAAGGCCAATGAAACCTGGGAAAGGGAAGGCTATCAAAACAACAGGAGGGAGGAGAAGAGATTGGAAAGTCATGGTGATGATCATGACTCAAGGACAAGAGGTCATGATAGCAGAGAAAAAGGTTCTAGAGGGCATAATGATTATGATTATCAGCCAAAATCAAGTGAAAACCACGATAAGCGAGAGGAGAAGAGATCAAGAAAGCGTAGTGATGATGATGATGGAGTTATGCCCAAGTCAAGAGAAGGTCTTGGTAGGAGGGAAGAAAAGAGATCAAGAAGGCATGACGATAATGATGTACCAAAGACGAGAGAAGATCGAGATAGAAGAGAAGAAAAGAGATCGAGAAGGTACGATGATTATGAATCTGAGATAAAATCAAGAGAAGAGCAGGATAAGGGAGAGGAAAAGAGATTGAAAAGGCACAATGATGATGAATTTCAACCAAAGTCAAGAGGATATCAAGATAAGAGGGAAGGCGATCGATCGAGATGGCATGATTATGATGTTGAGCCAGTGATGAGAGATAGGAAGGAGGAGCGGCGACCGAGGAGGCATGATGATTATCAGTTCGAGCCAAGGTCACGGAAAGATGATGAAAGAGGTGATGAGAAAAGAGCAAGGGTGAATAGGGCATGAATTAGAAACCTTCTTGTCAAAACTGATATAGAGCGATTACGTTCAATCACATTCAATCATGAAGGATTCTACTATTCCTTTAGGAGACATATCAGTCAAATCGAAAAGTGCTAGTTTGTACCAAATATGGCCTGTCTATTGAGAAAGCATGTATGTAAGAATATGCCATGAGAATCTTCAAAATGCTTGAATTGCCTGGTGAGTGACTACGGGTATGTTCATTGCATAACTCAATTTATAACTCAAATTATATTACTGTAGTATTTTCTCTCATAAAAATTCAAATTTAACTTTTTAGTTACAGTGTTTTTCTTTCACACACAACTCAAAGTCATAACTCAAGTCATGCAAAAAAACAACCTTACAAATTTTTGCTTTTGGTGGCAACAGTTTTTGGTTTTTCTGGTCGCCATATAAAAGATTTTTAAAATTTTGATGGCTGTAGACTTTTAAGGTGCATTAGAGCTATAACAGGAGATTTCTAAAACGGCTTTACCACGTAAAAATTATGCCAAAAACTTATTCGAGTCCATCTTGTTAATCACGAAGTCAAAAGGCAGAAATTATTCGAGTCCATCTTGTTAATCACGAAGTCAAAAGGCAGAATGTTGTTGCCTCTCGATATGTTGCCTCTCGATATATAGCCTCTCTACAAACCTTGTACTGTATTTCTAAGGAATTTTTCTTACATATTTGGTGAAGTTATAATTAAAGATAAAAAAAAAAGAGATTTTTGTACCGACAAATTTCGCTTTCGATATGAATTGCGGAATACGTTCCCTTACATCATGTTCTTTACACTTTTCAACTAGATTTTTAAGTTTCTTTGTAAGGGTACTGGGGAATATCTAGCTTACTTGGTCAAGACTAATATATGCTTATGCGTTACAGCACTCGTTCAAAGCAATTTTTTTATGCATGTATATTTTTCTCATTTAAAAGCTACTTAATTACATATGATTGGCCATCATATGTTGCTTTCACGATATGCTGATGTGTCTGATAAAGCATAAGCAATGAATGTGCAATTCCTTTGAACTTTTGACCGCAAAGGATTTTTTTTTTCCCCTATTTGTCACGCACTGGAAAAAATAAGCATCGAAAATGAAGGTTGACAAAACAAATGAGTTGACGGGATATTAGTTCTATCAACTGCGATTCTTCCTTAAAGTTGAAGCAAAATGGTAAAAGCAGTTGATTTTGAAGTACAACTTTACAAGCATGCACGAATACTAGAAATCAAATACAAGATCACAGTAGAATTGATATATTTATTTTCCTCCGTTTTTTATACATCAATTTTTCATCAGCATTGTCGAAGATCATATTCCATAAGTATCTCCATTTTTCAAGAACTGTTTAAATGGTATTTAAAACATGTATTGCATGCTAATTTTGTCGTGGCCTAAGAGATGAGATCTTCATAGCCAATACAATCCATTTCACCAATATTCCCCACATGAGCAATGCCCATCTTTAAAATGATGAAATCTATACCGATCTCTCAGCAATATCTCTCTTTTGTAAACCTTGGATACAAGCTTAGCGACAGCGTGGCAGTCACCACAAACCCGAAGATTCTTCACAACTCGAATGGGCTGAGAGGGAGCTGTACTAATAAGCCCGAAGGCAATTGCCAACTTCTCACTATGAAGGTTCAGAGCCTGCTCCTTCATATCCTCTTCCTCAACAAGCTGTAGTAGGTGGGACTTGTTTGGCACATATCCGATTGCTTTTAACGTTGCGGCAATCTCATCCAACTTTTCGTAGATATCTTTGCATAGAGGGTGAGAGTTATCACCAACTAAAAACTCGTGTACAATGCCATTGATCTCGATCGAGCTACAACCTGGTTCTTTCTTTATTCCAGAATCCCTCATAGCCTTCCTTAACCTAGAAACTCGATCCCACTTATCAGTTCTCGCATATATGTTAGATAAAAGCACATAGGCTCCATGGTTTCTTGGATCCAACTCAAGCAATTGGCCACAAGCATGCTCAGCGAGTTCAACATTTCCATGAAGTCTACAGGCTCCAAGAAGAGCCCCCCATATAGAAGCAGTAGGAGGTATCGGCATTTTCTCTATGAATTCCAAAGAGTCTTTTAGACGGCCTGAACGACCAAGCATGTCAACCATGCAAGCATAGTGCTTCACTCCAGGCACAACCTTATAAACTGGTTCCATTTGATAGAACAAACTTGTTCCCTCCTCAAGTAGTCCTGTGTGGCTACAGGCGCATAATATGTTAGTAAAGGTCACGGCATTAGGCTTGACCTTAGCTTTTAGCATTTCATAAAACAAGTCTATTGCAGCTCGTCCACAGCCATGCATTGCTAAACCAGCAATCATGGCGCTCCAAACATATACATCTTTCCTCTCCACTGAATCAAACACCTCGAGTGCCTTCTCTAGATCACCACACTTGGCATACATGTCAATTAGTGAGGTCGTAAGATGACAGTTTAACTTGATCCCCTGCCTTTTGATGTAAATATGAATCCACCTTCCGGGATCAATTGAACCCAACTGGGAACAAGCCGACAGAGAACTCACCAAAGTGACTTCATCAGGTTTTGCACTCTTACTAACTTGCAATTTATGGAAAACAGACAAAGCCTCTTTAGGCATTCCATTTTGTTCATAAGAAGAAATAAGGACATTCCAGGCAGCAATATCTTGGTTAGGCATGGCTTCAAAGACTCGTAGAGCCTCATCGTACTTCCCCATTCGAGTGTACCCATCAAGCATGGTTGTCCACGACACTACATCCCTCTCCGGCATCTTATCAAACAACTCTTTTGCATCTTCAACACTCCCGCATTTCACGTACATATCGAGCATCGCATTGTTCAGAGTCAAGTTCACGGCGATCCCATTCCTTTGGATATACGAACAAAGCCACCTCCCAAACTCTATGTCCGCTTTCTTTCCACAAGCACACAAAACGCCCACCATCGTTATATCATTTGGCTTCAAATTCTCCATCTCCATTTCTCTGAACAGTTGAAACGCCTCGTCAGGACAATCTCCCTCCACAAAAGCCTTGATCATAGAATTCCAAGAAACAACATCTTTGCTAGGAATGTTGAGAAAGACCCGGTACGCTGAGTCTAAATCGTCACACGACCCATAAAAATGCACAAGTGAATTAAGAATAAACACATCCGAAGCCAGCGAGGACTTCATCACCATTCCGTGAAAACCTCTTCCGACCCGGGAAGCTTTCAGCTCCGAGGCAGCCTTGAGTACAAACGGGTAAGTGTATTTATTGGGGGATTCACAACACTGGTCAAGCATTCGCAAAAACACAACAATACTTTGGATAGGATCGGAGCTCGAAGCATAAGCGCGAATGATTGTATTCCATGTGTAGAGATTTGGTTTCGGAATTTGGTCGAACACTTGGTGGGCATAGTCGAGGCTCGAGAACGACGACATCGCACAAACAGTAATGAGCTTGCTGGCAGAGAAAGGGTCGAAGAAGAGGCCCGTACGGAGCATTTGGGCGTGGATTTGCTTGAGCTCCTTTAAGCTGGTGCATTGTTCTATGAGGGAAAGAAGTGGGTAGTTTGGGAAACGAAGGTCGTTATTGACAGTTGAGGAGGTGGGCAGTTTTCGTTGATGTGGGAAAGAGAGAACTGGAACGCTTAAAGCAGCCATGCGTTTCCGCGGTTATAGAATGACCCTTTAGTATTATAAAAAGTCCAATATTCTTGGATATATAGAGAAAAGGACAAATCTATGGTAGGGGATGTCTTTCCCCGTACCACTAGAGTGAGTTATATATACTCTGCTAGACCTTGATCCGATTGGTGATAGGTGAGCTTATTAAAGAGAAAAGAAACTTGGGTGCAGGGAAAACTTCCTAAATCTTTTTAAATATCTTATCAATTATCCCCTATCGTTAGGGGACGAACATCATATCAAAACGTAATGGTTGAGATTGATGGTCCGTTTAGTTCACTGATTCGAGTTTTTAATTCGAGTTGAGATGTGATTTTATGTGAGAGTTTTTTACTGTAGTAAAAAAGTTACATGTGATTGTTTGTGAGAGCTTTTTGCTACATCAAAACTCGAATTCTAAACTCGAATCAGCGAAATGAACGAGGCAAGCACTGAAATTATTCTAAACCACATTGCACATAATTCCACCAAATTAAAAGACTAAAAAAATACTTAATGGACCATTAATTAAAATTAAAATTTAAAATTATTCTCGATTTTATGTATATTTTAAAAAATATATATATTATAAAGAATCATCAATATAATTTAGATACTATTAGGAAAATAGAATGAAAAGTTGAAGAAACATGCTCATTTCTTACGGTGAAAAGGGGAACCACCCCATTACATATAGAGGTACTACCTCTGAGTTTGTTACCTAACAAACTTTCTCTGGAATGCTCTTACCTAGGCAGTTGGCATAACAGAAAAGTCACAAAAAACAAAAAGGCTAATAAGACAAATATCAGAAAGGTGGTTTAATTATCCTAATACTCCTCCTCAAGATGGAGAGTACAAATTGTGAATTCCCATCTTGCTTAAAAGAAGCTTAAACTGAGTAGGATGAAGGGCTTTAGTAAGAAGGTCTGCAAGCTGATTGTGAGTTGAAACATGCATGGTTCTTAAGACTCCATCTTGGATCTTTTCTCGCACAAAATGACAATCGATCTCGATGTGTTTGGTGCGCTCATGATAGACCGGGTTGGCAGCAATGTGAAGGGCAGCTTGATTGTCACAGTAAAGGAGAGCTGGTCCCTGGTGATCAACTTTCAATTCCTTGAGCAAACCAAGCAACCAAACAATCTCACAACTGGTGTTGGCCATGGATCGGTACTCAGCTTCCGCAGAGGAGCGAGAGACCACTTTTTGCTTCTTAGATTTCCAAGAAATGAGAGAGGATCCAAGAAAAATACAGAAGCCAGTAAGGGAGCGTCGAGTGTCTGGGCAAGTCCCCCAATCTGCATATGAAAAGGCCTTGAGCTGTATAGTGGAAGTCGAAGGGAAGAAAAGCCCTTGACCAGGAGTTTTCTTGATGTATTGCAAAATCCACATAGCTGCTCGAAGATGCATAGTGCGTGGAGCTGCCAGAAATTGACTGGGATGGTTTACAGAGTAGCTAAGATCAGGACATGTGATGGTGAGATATATTAGCTTTCCAATTAATCTTCGGTAGCTTGTAGGATCCTCAAGTAAGTCACCATCAGATTGTGAGATTTTCAAATTGGGTTCCATAGGGACGGAAACAGGTTTGCAACCCAAATATTTTGCTTCGGACAACAACTCTAGAGCATATTTTCTTTGACAAAGAGAAATACTAGCAACGGATCTAGCAACCTCGAAACCCAAAAAATATCTTAGTGCCCCCAAGTCCTTCATCTTGAACCGTCCATTGAGGGCTGCCTTTAGAGTATCCACGGCAGTTTGCTCATTGCTTGTTATTATAATGTCATCAACATACACCAAGAGAGCCAAGAAGGAATTACCATGAGACTTGGTGAATAAGGAATGGTCACAATTCGATTGTGTGAACCCTTCTGATTGTAGAACACTTGAGAACTTGTGAAACCATTGTCGAGACGCTTGCTTCAAGCCATAAATTGATTTATGGAGCCTGCAAACTGCATTAGGAGGTAAGATCTCCCCCTTTCCACCAACATAGCCAGGTGGAAGGGTCATATAAACTTCTTCTGTGAGGTCTCCATGGAGGAATGCGTTGGTCACATCAAGCTGAGTAAGGGACCAACCAAAAATGGTAGCTAAAGAAAGCAAAACTTTGATTGTAACAAGCTTTGCGACATGGGAAAAAGTGTCCAGGAAGTCAATGCCAAGCTGTTGTGTGTAACCTTTCACAACGAGGCGGGCTTTATGCCTTTCAATAGTTCCATCAGGGTGAAACTTGGTCTTGTACACCCATTTACAGCCCACCGGGTGTTTGTCATGAGGAAGAGGCACAATGGACCAGGTGTTGTTGCTTTCCAAAGCCTGCAACTTGACATTCATTGCATGACGCCACATCTGAGACTCAACGGCTTGAGAGAAAGTTTTTGGTTCGGTATGGGATGTGAGAGACAAGACAAAGGTTTGGTATGGCCGGGACAACTTGTGGTAGCTAAGAAAGGAGGATATTGGATAAGAAGTAGAGTGGGATGGACTGAGAATGGAAGAGGGAGGAAAATGACTATGTAACTAAGGAACAATGATAATCAGACAAATAAGAAGGTGGTTTGGTGAGACGTTGTGGTCGGCAGGTAGGAATTGAGGGAGGAGGAACAGTGGCAATAAGAGAAGGGGATGTAGTTTGGATGGAAGAGGGAGATGAGTTAGAGGAGGGCAGAGATTCAGGAGAGGAAGGAGGGAGTGTAGGAAGCACTCTGTCAGTGAAGAAGTCATGGAGAGCAGGATCAGGAGGGAAATTAGCAAAAGGAAAGATGGATTCATGAAACATCACATTACGGGAAATGTAAGTTTTGTTGCTCTCTAAATCGAGTAATTTGTAACCTTCATAACCAAAAGGGTAACTAAGAAAAACTGAGGCATGAGCCCGAGAGGCAAACTTTGTGCAGTGATTAGGAAGAGTGGAACCATAACATAAACAGCCAAATGTGCGAAGGTGAGTATAATGTGGTTTCTTATTATTGAAAAGTTCAAAGGGGGTTTTGTTAGAGAGTAGTGGAGAAGGTGTACGGTTGATGAGGTAAACTGCAATCAAGACACAATCACCCTAATAACAAAGAGGTACACATGATTGAAACAAGAGGGCACGAGCTATATTAAGAATATGTTGATGTTTACGTTCAACGACTGAATTTTGCTCAGGTGTGTCAACACAAGAATGATAAGGAAGAATGCCTTTAGAACGAAAAAAATCAAGGAATGCCAATTCAGGAGCATTATCTGAGCGAACCGACTTAATTTTAATATTATATTGAGTGAAAATTAAGTTGTAAAAGTCAGAAAAAATGGTAAGAACATCAGATTTGGCATGCAATAAATAAACCCAAGTAGCACGAGTGCAATCATCAACTATGGTAAGAAAGTATTTCTGTCCAGCGGGAGTTGCAACATGAAAGGCACCCCAAACATCAATATGCACCAAATCAAATGGCTGGGGAGACATGTTATTATGGGAAATAAAGGGAAGTCGTTTCTGTTTGGCAATATGACAAATTTGACAATGAGAAGATAAATGAGATAAGGAACTAGGAATTTGTAATTCATTATGTAGAATTTGAAGTTTTACATAAGATGGATGCCCAAGCCGAAGATGCCAAACATCACTTTTAGACATTGCAGCACAAGAAAATAAAGAGTTACAAGTAGGATTCCCTAATTCTAAAAACTAGAGGTTGCCTTGTGTAACGCCCTCCGGAATTAAACTTGTTTAATTATGGTAATTGTGGTTTATTAGTGTGCCTAAATTTATTTTCTTAATTAATCATGAGCTTTTAAATTTATTTTTAGTATTTGCAATTTCACCCCTATTTATTTTATTTATTTTTTCTTAATATTTTTCCTAATTTTCTTTTCCTTCTATTTCTCCCTTTTCCTTTTTTCCTTATTTCTTTTTCCTTTCCCTTCCTCACATTACTCTCTCTCTCTCTCTCTCTGTCTCGACACTCTCTCTCTTTCCC